TGTGTTTTTCATTCCCCATGTGCTCTGTGTGACCTAGTTTCTGTCTCCTGTTGATTGTGTCATTATGTTCAGGTGTGTCTAATCATTATCCTCATTTACATTCCCCATATAAGTTGCATTCTGTTCAGTGTTTCTTTGTCCGGTCTCGTTGATGTATACGTGTGTTTGCTACCTTCTTGTGATGGATTACCCCTATGTGGATTATTAAAGACTGTTTATCGTTACTCTTCTGCTTCGTGCGTTCACTCCTGCAGCACATCGTGACAAGAATATTTTGAAAAGAGAGGAACTTTGCACCCCTCTTTTCAGCTACTGGCGGGATTAAATTTCTGTTCTGGCTCGATTGAAAAATCCCCCATGGATTATGGGAAAACACTACTGTATATAAAATGGATAACCCACTGTAAAATGCAAGTTTTTAATCTGAGATTTAAAAAAAAATTTTTTTGGGTTATTACTCAAATTCAATATTTATGTTTTATCTCCCCAAAATTAAATTGGCAAGTCACTGTCAATCTGATGCCATCTTTATACGCCTTTTAAAGGTTGTGGGGGATTGTTTGGATCTGTGTGTGATGCAATGCATGCTTGTAAAGAGTCCGATTATGTTTGTGGAGAATAAATGTATAAATATTTGATTCCATATAACAATCTTAATCTTAAATCCACATATTTTCCTGCCAAACCTCTTAACAGACATGTCGTGGAGAATTTTTAAATTGAGACTATCATGCCAATTCCTACCATTCAAACTTTTGGGTCAGTAAGGTTTTTTTTTTTAATTAATATTCAGAAAGGATGCATTAAAAGAGACAATAAAGACATTTATAATATTACAAAAGATTTCCATTTCATATAAATGCTGTTCTTTTTAACTTTCTATTCAAAGAACCCTGGAAAAAAAAAAACACAACTTCATGATTTCCAGAAAAGTAATAATATGTAATTAAAAGAAATGTATCTTAAGCACCAAACCAGCATATTCAAATTATTTCTGAACGATCATGTGACACTGAAGACTGGAGTAATGGCTGCTGAAAATTCAGTTATGGTGTCACAGAAATAAATTATGTATTAAAAATATAAACAAGAAAAAGAAAAAGAAAATCACACTATTGCTGTTTTTACTGCATTTTGGTACATTCAGCCTTGGTGAGCATAAGACTTCTTTCAAAAACATTAAATAAATAAAATACAGACAACTTCTAAACAGTAGCATATACTTCAGAAATATGGTTTTAATCCAAATTTAATCCAAAAATCTAAAAACATTGTATTGCATTTTTGCATTTTATTATTTCAAACAAACATTTTTCACTAAAAATATATTAACTTATTGGAATAATTGGAAATTATATTAAAGAAAAAGGATAAAAGAAACACTGAATGTGATTGCAAAAGTGATTTCAGAATAAAATGTTGTTTAAGTCAATTTTACATAAAATGGATCTTATATTATAAAAATACATTGCCGTTCAGTGGCTCCAAAAAGTATTTGAACATTTCAGCAACATTTAAAATGTATGAATGCCATTGCAGTAGAAAAACTAAATCACATCAAGTGGCATTCATTTTAAAGAAAGACATTAAAAAGTATACTTTAAATAAATAATTTTCACAGTTAATGTGATGAACTACACCTGACTGAACTGACATCATATATGCAAATATGTAAAAGTTGTACTGACACCAGGGGCAAGTTCAAGCTCAAACCGGTGTGCACCGTTTTGCTACGTTTTCCGGTTTGAACGACATGTTTCCTGGAAATGGTGTGCAACGGGGTTTGAGATGGTTTTCTCTTGTTTGGTGGGTGTGTCAAACATGTCAGCCCAATCAGCAGCAACATGTATGTAAACCACGCGGTATTAAAGAGACAGCTCGCACAATGTAATTAACATCCAAATAAATTCACAAGAGCAAGTATATTGTTTGCACATGTTTATTTACATTAAAGGCAAAATAACTGAAATAATAAGGGCACAAGTATAGATCTGGAACTTCTTTAAGTCTGTCTAAATATCATTTAGTAATTGCAATGTCTTCTGGTCCATATCCTTTCCTTAAGAAGGTGTGCTAAATAGTGATTGATGTAACATAAAAATACTATATATATTTATATATTTTGCTATTGTATTATGGAGTGACACTTTCATAAACTTTTCTATACCCCTCTGATTATATAATGGTAAATATTACAATATCATAGCACAACAACAGTGATCAGCAATAATGATAAGCCTAATACTCACAATAAAAATAATAAGGTCATATAGATCATAACACAGTCTCGGAGGTAAGAAGTGGATTATCCTTCACCTGAAATGTTTGTCTTTTCATCCTGAAATGCGAGGAAATGTTGGATCACAATAATTAGGAACCACAGTTTCCACAAATCCCTTCATTTGATTGGGATGTTCTCTTTTATTCTGGAGGGCAAGGGCAATGACTGTACCATCGAGCGTATTTTGCAGTATTAAACACGTATTTAAACCGATTTCATCAGGCTCCGAAAATTCTTCAAAAAGAACACAAAGAATGGCCTTCTCAGCTGCCATAGTTGCAACTCTTGCGTCATCAGAACAGGGTGTTCAACGCACCACCGTTTCCATTTAAAAAACGTTTTGCACCGTTTTTGTCGGGGCTGAACGCAGCCCAGTTGGTTGAAAGCCATTGCAACAATGTCTCTTGCATCATTTGTCTGCAGATGCCACACGGTTATTTTGTATGCAATGATATTTTAACATCTGTTGAAGTGTTTAAATAAGTGAATGGGCATATGACAATAATGTGAAGAAAAGTATGGTGACCCAGCAAGACAGCTTCATTATTAAAGCCTGACTCACACTTTGAATGGAAGCCCAGTGATTGGGTGGGTAGGAGAGAGAGGGAAAGAAAGAAGTGACAAAGGTATTAAAAAACATAATGCTAATAGGGATGGCGGAGTGGGTGGCCGATGCAAAAGGTTTGGCTGCTGGTTCAATAGCATTTTCTTATAGGTAAAATAAAAAGCATTAGCTTGTAGTGAAAGACAACCGCACAGCCTTTGGCATGAGCACAGATTCCCTCACCATTATTTTAAAGTCGAAATTAAATGCCGGAATAATAATCAAGTTTAATCAAATCTCTAAGATCTATAGACCCCAACGGCATTATATGAAAAATATACGGCTGCCGTGTGTTTTGAGTTTGAGCTCCGTCAAGTTAATTCTTTGTCGTCTAATTTTTTATCTTAAAATCAATTTTATACACCATCATTTTCGTTTCTATAACGTGTGAATATATCCCCTATCGTATTCTACAACAAAAACAATCAGAGCGCCTTGTTATCACTAGTTCTATTTTTGACTTCCCGAGTCCGCTATTAGCATATAGCCCGCTAGCATCGCCAGCGTGGTTGCCGCTAATCTCGCTTACATTACTAATACTCTATTCACTGTTACTTGCTTTAATGGCGGATGTGTGTCTACCTTTGAGTCAGTTGCTTTGACACAATCTGTATTGTTAAAAGCGCTATATAAATAAAGGTGGCTTGACTTGACTTGACTTAATGAGAATGTGGAAGCACAGATATTAATATGGCTCATGAATATGGGTCTAAAGTGAAGTGTGCAATTTCTGCACCACTAGTGGCATAAAAAAGAATTGGTGAGTGAATCATTATTTTGACACCGTGTCTACACCAGATGCGACAGCTAAAGTCTGTCGGGGGTCCCGAAGCGTGAATCCGTATGCAGAAAGGCACGGAAAACAAATAACGCCTTCTATGGAGCCACTAATGGGACATGGTTAGCCACTTGCTAGCGGTAGACTGTTACATTATAGTACATGAAAGTTCACTTACCACATACACAGAGTAAGGAGAGATGACTGATAGGGCAATGGCGAATGATTTGCAGATACTGAGCACCACTGACAAATATGATTCCGGCTCAACATCGTGATGTCTGTCAGCCATTGGCGATGGACGATGGCATCGTCTATCGGCCCAACCCTAGTCTACACTAGATGTGACAAAGCGACCGTTGCAAATCATTTGTACTTTGTGTTAGGCACATCATAAATAGAACGAGGCATCAGTTTACTGTCTGGGATTTGTCATGTCGTGTAGACAGCATCACTGGTTATAATGGGTTGTATTGACTTTTGTCACGTTGCATCGCGCCGCTTGCATCCATGTGTAGACACGGTGTGAGTTGGGCCATCAATGAACCAGTTTACAAAACCAGTGTGAATGAACCAGACTGATCCAGTTCTCGATATCAGCAGTTAACAACTCCCTGCAGCAGAGAAAGATTTATCAGGGAATAACTTAAATTTCGGTCACAAAACTATCAGAGATAGGGATGGACCAATATTAAAATAATTTTTTTCTAAATAAATTAAAAATACAACATTAAAAACTAAAAATCCGTAAAGTGAATTTAAGTGAATACAACTGAATTTAAGCATCACAACGTCATAAAGTACAGTAGTGTATAAAAATGCATAAAAACTGAATATTTGAATATTTATGAGTGGATTTTAAGATTAAATGACAATCTTGATGCAAAAAAAAGGAAATTAATTGTACATTAATTGTACAGTTACCCAATATTGCAGACTTTTTAAATATTTTGGAATTTTTAAATATCAGTTTTATATATATATATATATATATAAAATGCAAGAATTCACCATATTATGATGAATTCTTGCAGATTCACAGGAAATAAATCAGATTTGAGAACCAGAACAAACTGTTGTATAAATGTATATCAAGCATCTCTTATCAGAGGATTGGAACAGTGCATGAGTCATATGGACCACTTTTATGATACTTTTATGCTGGTTTTGGAGCTTTAATGCTTCAAAAGAGTGACCAGCACATTACTCAAAAATGTCCTTTTGTGTTGCACAGAAAAAAGAAATTCATACAGGTTTGAAGAAACGTGAGGTAAATTATCATTCTGGGTCAACTAATCAATTAAGAAGCGATAACAGAAAAAAACTGTCACCTGTAAATGAGTGTCATTGGGGACATATTGATCCTGATCTCCCATCAGCGAGGTGATGACCGGATGCTTGCCTGCCGTGATCAAAATCTGACTTTTCTCCTCAAGAACCTCAGGCCTATGCTCAGGACATGCAAAAAAGATGCATTAGACACCAATAAAGAAGAGTATTCACAATTAGATAAACTGATAAAAAAAATTCAAGAATGAATTCGCCAACATAAAGTTTTGCAAACACGTTTTGGCACGACACTTTACATATAAGTGCTGGAATTTATGGTATCAGCTCAACACACTTTTGAAAAGTCCAGAGGGAGAGGATAAGCTCTGGTGCTCTGCAGAACAGGAGGGAGGGGGAGGCGGTAAGGAGCAGAGGGGGAGTAGTTGGCGGAAACCTCTGCTTTCAAAGTCAAATCCACTCCCCCACACAGACTGTCAGAGGGATATGGAGTGGGCTCTATACTGCATGGGGGTGGGATTCATCCTACTGTTGGACTCAATTCGGGCCAGGGAGAGACGGAGATGTGGGGGCTCCAGGGTCCCCTTACTCTCGTTCATCTATGAAAGCTTATGTAAGATGCTTTATGTGCATCTCACCAAACATAAAAGAGAAATGGAGCTTCTTTGTAGATGCTCAGAAATTACAGATTTTATTGCACTTATATGCTAAAAAGCTTTAAAACTGGGAAAAGTCCCCACAATTACTCCCAGAACTGCATGCATCTGACTTCTAAATGTTCAAAAAGAATAGACGACTAAAGTCAGGCCTTGGAAATGAAGCTTAGTATATTTAATTTGATGAACTAGGTAATTTATGAGAAAATGTGCATGCTTGTGCATATGATTAGGTTTGAAATATGAGAGATGACAGGAAGTCAGCAGAGAATACGGGAATAAAAAGCCAACTTCATTACCACACCTGCAGTAATTATTTTCTTTAGCAACCTGGGCCAATGAGAGGAGGCAGTCCATGGTTGCTAGGTGACACACTGCTTTCCTCAGGATGTAGTAATGGTCCCCAAATAGCCTACACATGGCAAAAAAAAAGAGAAGGCTATTGAGAAAGAGAGAAAGAGTGCTGCCGGGTCTGAAAGTGACAGGATAAAACACACTTTTTATATGATTAAATTAGTACAGCAGATTCCCGATTTTAAACTCTATACTGAAACAAAATGCTGAAAGCATCTCAATCAATCAACAGGGCTGCAATTAAAACGGATTTTTGTCATATTTCAAAGCCACATACTGAAGGAAGTTGATCCACTCGTGATTGCAGTCAATAATCAGCTGCTCTCGTAGTTGCTGCAGGTGACAATGTTTCTCCACAATGAATGGAGTGTGATAGCGGCCCACAACCTTAGTGCTAGGGATGAAAAGTAGACATTTAAATGCTAAAATTGGTTTGTATCCACCTTATTTAATGCAGAAGCAAGCTTTTTCCTGTGAATCTGCAGGAATTCATTAGCCGCTATGGGTAAATAACTAGAAGAATAACAAAGCACAGTCAACAGTAAAACTTATTGCACTACAAACTAGTGTGTTCATGATTATAATAAAGACCAATTACCAAATACCAATTTTGCTAGAAGCTCTCTTAAGATGTAGTACAATAGGATTTTTCAGGAAGCAAGTGACCAAATTTGTCAACAATGGTGCCCACCTGTTGATTTTGACCCAGTCTGGCGGGACTATAGATGACATACTGTTCTTTACTTCAATGAGAAACTGTGCAAGAAAATATATATTACTGTCAAATTTTTGTAGACTGTGTGTAAACCTTTGTTGAACTTTACTTTGGTGAGCATACAAATGTCAGGCTCAGTAGTAATAACTTCAGGATCATAATTACAGTAAGAAATTGTCATTTTATTATCTTGCTATCTTTACAACAACCATATAATTTCCATCACAAATAAAGTGCTATTCTCTAAAATAAATAAATAAATAAATGACATTTTAAAAAGTCGAAGAGATCATTCACCCAAAAGTGAAAATTCTGTCATCATTTACTCACCCTCATGTTGTTTCCAAACTTGTATCACTTATCTTGTGTGAAACATAACAGCAGATATTTTGAGAAATGCCTCAGTGTTTCAAGTCAAACCTTCTTCGAAATATCTTCATTTGTTTTCCACAAAAGAAATAAAATCCTACATGTTTGAAACGGTGAGTTGAGAATGAGTAAATGATGACTGAATTTTCATGTCTGGGTGGACTATAAAGTCTCCCATATTCTTATTGTCTCATTTGATCGTCTTGCTAATGATGGCTGTCAAATCAGTTCTGTAGTTACGTATTTAAGGCACAAGCACTCAGATAACAAGGTGAACAAGTTTGTTCACTGACCATCTGATGCATATTGCATAAAAAATGGTAAGTGCTTTGTTGATCTGGCATGATTGTGCTCTAATCTGACTGGTTGGCTGTACGCAACCATTAGGTGTACACTGGGGAAATATATAGACATTTCTCTGTTTTATGTCCAGCATTGCTCTGCTATTATTTTAGAGAATTCCCCCCACACCAGTCTATTATTATGGTATCAACTCCTATAAATGTCATATATAAATCTTACAAAATGACATGTAAAAATGTGGCACGTAATTTTCTGTCAGTCATACTGTCTCTTCTTGTAGTTGTTGCAAAGTGGACCAGATTTATGCTGATAGTCAAAAGCATAGCTATGTTAGACTCAGCTAGAGATGAAGGGAGAACGAGGTATGGCCGGAGTCTACACTTTGAGGTGGAAAAACTGTTGTGTGTTCATGGGAGAATGGCAACAGTGAGCAGATGGAGAAACAGATGTGGAGCTGCATACAAACTGCAACATTTCAGACTCTGTCCTTGTAGTTTTCATCTTCTAGTAAGGTAGTATTCAACAGTATATCTACAACAGAATAAAATGAGTACAATGGCTTTTGCCATGTTGTACAATGTAGAATAGGTAGCAATTAGGTTTGTTATAAAACAAATAATGTCACATAATTGGAGACAACAACTGATATGTGTCCTATCACCCACAGCAGAGATGCCCAAACCAGGGCCAACAAGAGAAGGGAAAAAAACATGCTATTGAAGCATTCATTCACTTTATTTATAGAGCACTTTACAACTGCACCTGCAGACCAAAGTGCTGTACAATCAAGAAACACTTCATTAAAACAGTTTTTGAGAAACAGAACTTAAAACAACACACATCCTACTAACAACAAAGACTACCCCACCCTCTCAAAGGTTAAAGACAAGAAGTAGTTTTTGACTTCAACTTTAAAAGCATTTAAAGATGAGACCTCTCTAAGTTCCTGAGGAAGACTATTCCAGAGTTTCGGCCCCGCAACAGCAAAGGCCTGATCCCCTTTTAACTTTAAATGAGTACGAGGGACAGTAAGCAATAACTTATTATTGGATCTTAGAGACCTAGGTGCTTCACGAACAGCAACGAGCTCAGACACGTAAGCAGGGGCCATCCCATGCACTGCTTTAAAAACATACAAAAGAGTTTTATATTTTATCCTGTAGTTCACTGGTAGCCACTTGAGAGAAGCTAAAATAGGAGAGATATGATGACTAATTTTAGTCATCATATCTTCATGTATCATATATAATGAATATCTTCATTTCTAATTTTATTTGTTTTATTTTTGCATTGAAATGAAATAAAAATTAAATTAAAACAAATAAATAAAAAAACAAGTAGATTTGATTAAAAAAATAATTTAAATGTTTTAAAAAAAGTGTAATTTAAAAAAATATATTTAAATTAATTTTGTTTAATTGTTTATTAATTGAATAAATTTTAATATAGTTGGATATAATGCAACATTTACTTTTGGCTCAGGGCCCTAGGCTAGTTTGATTTTTGGCCCTTCGTATTAAAAAAAGTTGGGTACCTCTGACGTGCAATATTTGACCGATCATAGGCGCACCTTTTCAGAATAGGGTATAAAACAGGATCTGAAACTCTTTTGAAAAACATCACTTTTGAGTGAATTCTGATATTTTCTAGCAAAACATTAAAAAGCAAAATTACACAAAAATAAAAAACAAAATGTTAAACGAACCTATTTCTCAGTAGGGTTTAGCTAGTTTGGACCAAAAAAGACTTTCCATAAATTAAAGAAAATGTTTGTTTGGTTTTTTTATTATTATTAATATTTAAATAACTTAAGTGACAGGGTTGACAGTTAAAGTGACCCTATTATGTCATTTCGAACATTGCCTTTCATGCAGCGTGTAATGTAGCTGTATGTGAATGTAAACGATCTGCAAAGTTGTAAAGCCGAAAGTGCACGATAAATAAAGTTATTGTCTCCCAAAGAAAGAATTGACTCTGGAGAGCCTAAACGAGTCGTCAGTAATTCTACACGTCATGGGGTAACACATTTGCATAATGCTCGCCTATGTTCTGTACGTTGGCCTGTGATAAACATCTTGACCCCACTCTCAAACACTGTAGCTTGTTCGTGTGGTTAGACGCCGTGTCCTGCACTGTGAAAGTAAATTTGCTTAATTTCACTTCCGAAAGATGAGTGCAAAGAATCAGTGGTTACGTTCACAGCAGTACAACCCCAATCTTTTTTTGTGTCCCCGTCATTTTACTGACAACCACTTCTTTAATCTCGGGGAGCACAATGCAGGATTCACAAAACGCTTGCTCTTGAAAGATGGCTCAGTTCCCAGTTTATTTGGACAAGCTGTAACCCTCGGCTATGGTCTGTGATAAATGTGGCATATCAGTCCGTGCCTTCTGCTTGGTTCAACTCACCTGCTAACATGCTAATATGATACTCCATAGTCTGGACTGTTTAAATATACCTTCTTAAAGCATAATTTAACAAACGTATAGTGATGCATGATATATTGGTATCATATTGGTCAATATTACAGCTCATTTTCTCTACATTTATCAATATAATGCCAACTTAATCTTAAAGTGCCCCTATTATGGCATTTTGAATATTGCCTTTCATGCAGTGTGTAGTGTAGCTGTCTGTGAAATGTAAATGATCTGCAAAGTTGTAAAGCCGAAAGTGCACGATAAATAAAGTTATTGTCTCCCAAAGAAAGAATTGACTCTGGAGAGCCTAAACGAGTCGTCAGTAATTCTACACGTCATGGGGTAACACATTTGCATAATGCTCGCCTATGTTCTACGTTGGCCAGCCAAGAACAACTTGTCACTTCCGAAAGATGAGTGCAAAGAATCAGTGGTTACGTTCACAGCAGTACAACCCCAATCTTTTTTTGTGTCCCCGTCATTTTACTGACAACCACTTCTTTAATCTCGGGGAGCACAATGCAGGATTCACAAAACGCTTGCTCTTGAAAGATGGCTCAGTTCCCAGTTTATTTGGACAAGCTGTCTCCACTGAAACACAACCTGTATGTATGATAAATAATAGATGTTTATATTTTCTATCGAGCATTCAAAATACTGAACTATGGCAATGGGCGTATAGTTTCTGACACGTGCTGTATGTGGTAGACCAATAACAAAGGACTGGGCTTTCTGACCAAACAGAGCAGAGTAGGCTCACAGAAAGGATGAGTTTAGAGAGACTAAATCTTAGAACTGCTTCGAACAAATCGTTGGAAAATGAGGTGATATTAAATGCATATTTTGAGAAAACGAAGGCATTTTTTGACCTTGCATGCATGTAAACCTCTTGTAGGAGACTTCCAAAACAATATTAGGGACCTTAAAAATGTTTAAAGATTTAACTCACTTTGCGGCTTTCTCATCTAGTACTTTTAAGAAGTTGTGGGCGGGGCTTAGAAGCTGAGGTGTGTCCAGTAGGAGGTTCTTTAGAAGGGCAGAGCTGAGCTGTGATTGGATGGCAGGCATGAGGGCTTGAAGCTCAGCACTCAGGCGAGAGAGAGTGCTGGTGATGAGGTAAAATTCCCGAGTAGAGCACTGACAAGACAGAAAATATCAAAATAAACAGAAAAACATGTCTTTATAGTATAATGAAGTGCAAATTCTATTGTCATGGAGGGGGGTCATATCAATTTTATATCATGCTAATTTCCTCCAGGTTCAATAAACAGCCTCTTTGCAAGCTCTTCAAAACACTGTGAAGGTTTAGAAAACAATCAGTACTGAAAACGTGGGTGGTCATGCATGCATGCGTTTAAATGCATTCAAAGTTGTATAAGTACAGAACAAATCATTTTTGCAGATTAGTTTTAATGAATGGTGTGTTTGGGCTGGAAAGTTACAAGTTAATATGAAAGCTGCAATGCTTATTTCAAAATATTACATTTCATATGATTTGATTTTATGATCTGACTCCTTGGGAGCAAACA